GGTTTTTAAGAGATGGCTCGAGTATTTTAGCAAAGCCAATTACATATATAGTTAATTTGTCGATAACTTCAGGCATAGTACCTGATGAGATGAAAACAGCTAGAGTGAGTCCTATATATAAGAAAAATAGTAGGTTGGATGTCGGAAATTATCGACCAGTTAGTATTGTAGTAGTTGTTTCTAAAATTGTTGAAAGATCAGTATATTCACAACTTGAGAAATATCTGGTGGAAAATGATCTACTTTATAATTTACAATCTGGTTTCAGATCTGCTTATTCCACAGATACATGTCTTATTCATTTGTTAGATCATATTAAAAATGAATCTGCTAAGGGACTCTTTACTGGAATGATAATGCTAGATTTGCAAAAAGCCTTTGACACGGTCGATCATCATATATTGTGTAACAAACTACAAATAATGGGTATCAAATGTACTAAATGGTTTGAATCATATTTATGTAATAGACAACAAAAAGTTAGTATTAATGGTACTGACTACTGAATCTGATTTAAGATATATTACATGTGGGGTACCACAAGGGAGTATTTTAGGACCACTATTATTCTTATATTATGTAAATGACATGTCTATAAGTATAAGTAAAGACTGTAAAATTTTATTATATGCTGACGATAGTACCATACTATATTCTCATAAGAACCCAGAAGTTATATCTGAGAAACTGGGTAAGGAACTTGAATCTTGCAGCAAATGGCTTATCGATAATAAATTATCACTTCATTTGGGGAAAACAGAAACTATTCTGTTTGGGTCAAAACGTAAATTGTCTAAAATTCGTAACTTTGATGTTACTTGTAATAATCACACAATTTCATCTCAAAATTGTGTGAAATATTTAGGCCTGAATATTGATAATTCTCTTTCTGGAGAAAAAATTTTAAATAATATTATTCAAAAGATAAATTCAAGATTGAAGTTCCTATACAGACAGGCCAAATGTTTATCAGAACAATCTAGAAAGACTTTAGTTACAGCTCTAATTCAATGTCATTTTGACTATGCCTGTTCTGCATGGTATGCTGGTGTCAGCAAAAAATATAAAGATAAGTTACAAGTATTACAAAACAAATGTGTTAGATTTATAAAAAATACTGGATATAGATCAAAAGTTGACCATAATGTATTGAATAGTATTGGTTATGTTAATATTGAAAATCGTGTTAAACAATTGAGATTAAACCATGTTCATAATATCCATTACCATCATTGTTCTTATTATATGTATACAAATTTTACAAAGGTGAGACATCTTCATCATCATTTCACACGAAATAGTGAATATAACTTCTGGGTTCCACCAGTAAAGAGTCAACAAAAAGATACATTTTATTTTAATGGCATACAAGATTGGAATATGTTACCAAATAATGTTAAAAAAATAAAGAAAATAAAGGATTTCAAAATTAGTGTTAAAGAGTACTTGACCAAAAGTTATAGTGCGGCCTCATCAGACTTCTTTTTATATTATTAAACTCATTTTTTATTCAAATTATTCTTATATGAATTTTTTATGTCATATTAATTTGTGTGATATCTTTTTTGTATGTCGAAACTATAAGCCGTTTACATGAAGATACCCCATTGGAAACAAGCTTTAAAGCTTTCATGGGTTATCCCTGATAAAATATCAGCAAATTTTTTCCATGCAGTTAAAGATTATCTACACTCATAAAATACCATTATATTTTACAAAGTATGTGTTAGTAATGTCTTTATGTATCGTATATATTGAGTATTGTATTAACTCATATGCTTGATATTTTATTGAATAAAATATTATTATTATATTATTACACATACTTTACTTGAGATGAAATAAAAGTCATTGGACAATATTTCAGATTTTTACGAAATTTTGCATGCATTTAGAAATAGTTGGACTGCATCTAAATAATTAAAAACTGGCATATGTAGCATTACTATATAGATTCTATATTTTGAGTCCAAAATGATGATCTGAGCGAGTTCACTGGCACATTAAAAGTACCAAAATTTAAATAGATTATTTAATTTTGACACTCATTGTAATCACCAACTCATCAGGCCAATTAACATGTCATTTAAGTTTTTACACCTGAGACATCAAAAACATTTAATTGGGTGTCTTCCTGCTATTCCTACATTTTGAAAATAAATATTCCTTCTATTCCCATCTTTCAAAAATAATGGCAATGCTTAATTCGACTATGGTGCCGTTTGAACAATATGAGTTCTAATCAGTTAAACAGAAAAGTTTTCATATGGGCGACATTATGAGTAAAAAACACAAGTGTATAAAAAATTGGAATTTTTATGTAACGAAAACATTTTCTGAGTGTAATGTAGAACATTTGTGTAACATTACAGAATGTGTCCATAGTACTTCAGTTGTCAATACTGTTATGTCTAAAATGTTTAGTAAATATGTTGGACAGTGGCAATGCAATTTACAGTCAGAGAAAGCTTTAAAGGTAAAGGTGGTAACAAACTTCGAACTATAATTTATTTAAGAACAGTTTTGAAACGGAAACTTATTGTACAATTCCAATGTCATTTTCACAAAGTTCTTTTTGTCAAATTCATTTGGTGTAGCACCACTAAGAATCAAAACAGGGAGATTTTAAAAAGTACTTTTAGAGGAGCGAGTCTGTGATAGTTGTAGATATTTTAGAAGATGAAGCCCATGTTATTTTATCGTGTCCTTTATATGACGATTTTAGAAAAAAATTATTTGATGAAGCAACACATTTTAATAGTGATTTTATGTCTTTTGATGATAAACAGAAATTAGTGTTCTTATTTACAGAAGTTAATATGATTCGTAGCTGTGCCAAAGCCTTTTGTTAAAACTTTTTTTATATTTTCTACTATTAATATTTTGAAACTGTACATTGATGAAAACTAACTGGTTAGGTTTGATTGATATTTACCTGAAGTTAATTAGCATTATGTTTTGAAAATCTAATCTGATGAATCCCTTGTTTATTCAACTATTTCTTCTATTCCTACATGGATTTCTTACAAATGACATACAAGATTTTAGGAGGAATAAACCATTTAATAGACAACTTTCGAGTTCAATGCATTTCTGTCAAAAACTCTGGTTTTAGTGAACATCATTCGTGCGTTTAGGGGCATTGTCACTTCCGTTCCAATGTTGAGCGAGTGGTTGGAAAATTATAATGCTATATTGCACAAATTATTCGGCAAATTAAATTCTCATAATTGACAATCAGCACTGCTGTCATTAGGGAATTGTGATTAAGTACTTACAAAACAAACGTTATTTCTAGTTTATCCTGCACAATGACGATCACTAAGACGCTTGATGAACGTTAATAGTGCAGGTATACAGGCGATCCCCTCTATCTGGTAAATGACGTCATAAAGGCGCGTCTAATTGACGAGTTTTTTCCGGTGAAGGATGAACTCGAAAGTGGTCAATTGAATTATACCTTGCATAATCAGATGGCAATTAGAATTCAATCAATTGACAATTTTGTAAATAGTTGATTATTTTGAAATTTATTAACAGAATTGTGAGAACAAACTATATTTTAGTGTAATTGGGCCGGTAAAATTCATCATGTCAACTTTTTTTTTTATAGAAATAGCATTTTTTTTATAGAAACACATTTTTTTAAATAGAAAAAGCATTTTTTTTTATAGAAAAACATTTTTTTTATAGAAAAACATTTATTTATAGAAAATCACATTTTTTTTTTTATAGAAAAACTTTTATTTATAGAAAATCATTTTTTTTATATAGAAAAACTTATAAATTGATTTTAAAAGATTTTTATAAAATATTGTTTAGTATCTCAAAGGTCTCAAAATATAAAAAAAATCTTCCAAATAGCAAAAAAAGTTATGATCATTAAAGAAATTTATATCTCATCAGGTTAATCGTCCTGTCATTAGTGTATCACGAATTATAAAAATAATATAATTCTGAATTATTAGTTTTGCATTTTGTAAATTAATTCAACATGTTCAAATGTTCTGTGGTATATTTTAGTAGTTTTATTGTAATTTTGTGAAGTTCTGTGGTATATTTTGGGTGTTCTGTGGGCTTCTGTGGTGTTCTGTGGTAAAAAGACGCTCCGGTCTTGGTCTTGATTGATAAGAAAAACTAGATATCTGTACACAAAAAAATTAATTTAAAGTTTGTTGATGAAGGAAAATCTTAAATAATACAACACTGGGTGTTTGTTTATTTTACAAAGTCGAAGGATTTTAATAGTACAATATGTATACCATCTCAAGGATTTCTAGTGAGAAACTAAACAATTTCCTTGACTATCTAGATGATAGATCCCAGGTTTTACGGCACGTTATGGTTCATGTGGACCCTTTGGTTAAAATGGCTGCGTTTTCACCTCAAAATTTACTCTGAGTACAGACAAACCTGTGTATCTGGAAAAGTTTTAAGGCATAGCATGCCCTAGATTAATAAAATTCAAATGCATTGTATGTTTTATAAAATTTAAAACTTAACTGGATTTTGCAGTGCACTTTTTTTCGTTCCTGTAGAAGATGATAAAATTAACAAACAGTTGAGTTTCACTTGATATGGTCCACTCAGGTACACAGTTTAAATCACCAATTATTGTCAGGTATCTATTGTCCATCTATTGTCCATGTCAATCAATACAGTTCACTTCAATTATTACCTGTGGGGAAGTTCTCAAACCTCTTTCACAACTTAGTTTATTTTGGCAACTTCAGGAGGAATGAAAAAAAGTGCACTGCAAAATCCTGCTAAGTTTTTAATTTTCTAAAACATATAATATATTTGAATTTTATTTATCTAGGGCATGCTATGCCTTAACATTTTTCCAGATACACAGGTTTGTCTGTACTCAGAGTAAATAATGAGGTGAAAATGCAGCCATTTTATCCAAAGGGTCCACATGAACCTTAAAGTCAAAGTTGTGACTGAGTGCGGAAATATGAAGATAGATAGATAGATAATCTAGAGTACAGGGATAATACCAAGAAAGTGTAGTGAAGTGGGGAGTTAAACATTGTCTTTCTTCGGTAATTGTTGGTGTGTCTATACAAAGCAACGACAAACCTTGAACTTCTGAAATATTTGCGCTTCAGAATCTTATAAACATGATACCTAAACGTCCTAAATTATAAACCGGAAGTCACACTAGAACAAGAACTATGCAGAGAACTAGAGGAATTTTCTTTAAACTAGACAGAATAAATACACAATTACTTATATCAAAGGCTAAACCAGCATCAATTGTGCCGTCCAGAACACATATAAAATCTAACACTGATCCGAGGTTTAAAATTAATTTGAAATAGGATAAGTTACTGTCTTCGTAATGTTCGTTGTAAACAAAAACACAGGACCGCTTGAACGGGTTGCTCGACATGAAAAATATAAAAATTGAGAAAACTAACGGCTTTAATAATTTATAACAAAACAATTTACGAAAAACAATGTACAATTTTAGTAGGTTTATTATGCATCTAACAAAATTCACAGTTTCTTTATTATAATTTCTTTGTAACATTTTTTCTACAAACTAAATCAGAGCACATGAAATCTGGGAACAGTATATCTAATGTTCCTGATGAAATGTATATCTGTCCTGTTACGCAATTTTATTCCTTATTTACATTAATGATTTCTCATTGGCTATTTGCTTATGACATCATCATCAAAAACAAGAATGATACATCCAATCTACAATAAACGTATTTACACTTTTGGTATTTAGCTATATTTTGCCTCCGAATGACCTTAGATCTACTCCGAATCACCTTTTGACGTCAGGCAACAATCACTTTTTAATTGTGACGTTAAATGTTTTGAATTATGATGTCAAAATTTACGGGAACTTGTGTGATTTTACGTAATGGCGGTCAAATTTGCATACAAGTGTAAATACGTCTATAGGACTTTATAGACCACTTTCAAATTCGTGCACTTTCCAGTATATTTCCTATGTCACAGTAAGAACCCATTGTCCGATGACGTCATTTATGCCGATTGACCTCAGGTCAACCGGTGTGACTCATTCATAAACTAGATATGGACGATTGCCCCCCTCTGTTATGCCATATGCATGAGTATAAGTTCCACATACTTTAGATTTGACAAAGTCAGTGATGTTGAAGTACAACTTGAAATTATTGCCTTGTCAGTAAGACACAAATGATGCCCACGTCTGACCATAAGAAATTATAGATTTAACACTATGTATGATGATCTATCTTTTATTTTTATTCTCAATACAAAAAAAAATGATTAAGTCTAAATACCTGGCATTTTGAGAATATTTGAAAAAAATCTAAATTCTGTGGACATGCACACTTCCATTATGTGTACAAACAACCTACAAATTATTAAAGAAGTCAAGGCTGTATCTACCATTGAGGCAAGTGAGGTAATTGCCTTACTAAATTTTCGACACTGAAATATTTTTTACTGCAGGTGAGGAAGGAATAATTTTAGTAAACTAATAGATGTTATTTGTGATTACAACAGGTGTTAAGAGTTCAAGTTCATTGGAACTAATCCAAAAACTATAAATAGACTGAAAATAAAGTACTGGGGCAAGACAGGGGAGCAGTCTTGTCTGGGTATTCATTTCCCCGTTTTCCCCATACTTTATTCATTCTCTTTACAGATATGCTTAGTTTCTTTTGTTACCTATTCTGACATCGGACTCAGACTTCTTTTAAACTGAGTTTTACTGTGCGTATTGCTATGTGTTTCTTTATTCTACATTGGCTAGAGGTATAGGGGGAGGGTTGAGATCTCACAAAACATGTTTAACCCCGCCGCATTTTTGCGCCTGTCCCAAGTCAGGAGCCTCTGGCCTTTGTTAGTCTAGTATGTTTTTTAATTTTAGTTCATTTATATGTTTTGGAGTTTAGTGTGACGTCCATTTTCACTGAACTAGCACACAATTTTATTTAGGGGCCACGATTTCTTTATGCAGCTAGTACCAAAAAGTATCTAAATCCAAATACCTGGCATTTTGAGAATATTTAAAAAAAAAAAAAAAATCTAGTGGACGTGTACACCTCTATTATGTGTAGAAACATGCTACAAAATATTAAAGCTGTAGCTCAAAAACTGTTGGAGGAGATAGTCGGACTTATCATGTATCTATATTCAGACAAATAGACGGACGGACAGGTAAATTAATATGCCCCTCAACATTTTGTTGAAGGGGCATAAAAACAACTTGTTATTGGTGTATTAGATTCAGTGGCATAATGAGAAAAATATCGATTAATGTCATTCCATCCAAATAAATGCTCCATACTTCGAATTACACTCAAAAAGACACCAGCGAACCATGACAACATCTTTCATAGTCACATTCTTCAAATAGAAGCAGCTACAAAATATTTAGGCATAACCATCCAATCAGATCATAAATGGAATAAACATGTAGATAAAATAAAAGCAAATGCAAATTGACAGCTTAATTTACTAAAATGTAACCTAAGAGTATCTTCCAAAGAAATAAAAGACCCTCACAACAAAAAAGAAATCAATCAAGATTTATGAGATGTCCAACAAAGAGCTTATCGCTATACTCGTAACAGACACCACAATACTAGCTCTGTCTCAAATATGCTTGAGTTTAGTTTGACGTCCATTATCACTGAACTAGTATACATATTTGTTTAGGGGCCAGCTGAAGGATGCCTCCGGGTGCGGGAGTTTCTCGCTGCATTGAAGACCCATTGGTGGCCTTCGGCTGTTGTCTGCTCTATGGTTGGGTTGTTGTCTCTTTGACACATTCCCCATTTCCATTCTCAACTTTATTGAACGCCTATAGTGGCTTACACTACAACTGAGAAGGATACAAACAAGACTAGTCATGCTAGTGGTATTTTATAAAATGATACACCAACCTTCAGTAATCTTAGCTCTAATGATCTTCTTATTACATCAGAACAAGACATAAACATACTAACCATTATACAGATTTATACAAATTTTCATTTTATCCGCACAGAATAGTACAATGGAATCTACTACCAACATCAGCAGTCCTTTGTACAACAGTTGATAGCTTCAGAGAGCTGATTTCTATATCTGCCCTTTCACAAATATTCTAAATATTGCATAACATGTACATGGTTTTTGATACCAAGAAATATACACAGGATAACAATCCACAAAAAAATAAATTAATAAATCACCTAAGGATATCCACATGAATTTTTTTCTAAAGTGCCATTTTACTGAATTCTGATGAAAAACCTAATTGTTTCATTTATTCTTGCAACAATTTCTACCAATCTCGTTGACATCCCTAATATATATATATAGAAATTGTTGCAAGAATAAATGAAACAATTAGTTTTTTCAGTTACGTCCCAGAAAAAGTTGAAAAGATAATATTTCTAAATAAGAACAAATTCGTTGCATCCTTTGTCAACCCTCAGAGAATGGTTTTTAAGGTATCAGTAAGTTCTATACTAATCATCACCCCTTTGTTGATCATTAAATGTGTTTTTGTACGAATCACAAATACTGTTGTTTGAGTAAACATTTTTCTATGGATGTTTATTAAAATTAATTGATTAGATTATTGCCAATTTACATAAATAGTGCATGTACACATGTAGTAAATGAGCTATTAATTTAAAGAATTTTTAATAGAGTATTTTATATGATTTTTAATAACATTTTATATTTAATAGTATTTTTGAAAGCAATTTCTAAATTAAATTAATAAGAACCCTAGAAATATTTTGCAAATTAACATGCAGTTTATTGTATATATGTACATAAGTTAAGTGTCTCATAAGTCACCTGTTTGGCTGGGTATTGATTGCATTTTAAAGATATTACTTTTTATTAATGTATAAATGTCTAAATGTACAGATTTCATTATTATTTATTATCAATTATGGTATAAAACTCCTGGAACTATTATCTAGTCATAGGTAATTATGTTGAGGGTTTTACGTCCATAAGACAACGACCTGCAATACGTAAAATGGGTATAATTTGTGTTTCCATTTTGTAGATGTTGATCCGAGCGAGTACTCGAGTATTGCTAGGTAAATCTAACGATTACTTGATTAATAAATCTTCACCGAGTTGACATCCCTAATATATATACAATGTATATGCAAAAGAAAGGTGTATCATGTGCTCCTGGCACAGGTGATTATTTTATGTGTGGTCATTATTAATTATTGTGGATTCATTTATTTTCATGGGTACTAATTTTCGTAGTTTGATGAAAACTTGCATTTTCCTGGATATTTGATTTCGTGGTTTTGTCAATGTCTGCTGCAAGCCTAATAAGAGAATTTGTAATTCATTGAACATTTAATTTTGTGGTTCTCCTGTAATCACGAAACCCATGAAAATTGGTATCCCATGAATAATAAAAAATCCACAGTACATTTAAGGGAAGTAGGAATAGCAACCTTGATAAATAGAATAATTTAGGCATGTTAGGGGGTTGATGAATAATTACCTGTATGACCCATATATGAACATGATGAATAAACTTTATAAAATCAGAAATGTACAAGATAGATTTAAATAATGCAATTCTTACAGTTTTACATTTCCTTTTTTTTCCATACAGGTATTTTACTCTGGTTCAACATGCAAAGAGCAGATTTTTAGATGAACAGAGACGAAGGTATGAATTTCAATTTCTTTGAAATGATAAACATCATAATAAATACTGGTTGTACTCCCCATATTTCTTAAAATAATGCTACAAAACACGCACTTTTTGGCTGTCTAATAAAAACATTTTCTTACTTTGAAGGAAAATAGATGTGCAGGGGATGTGTAGATATAAACATTTATCAGACATATGCTATGCCTTCCACTTCCACTTTGAAAATTCATTATTCAATTTCGGCTGACCAAAATTTTGCTAACAGAATTTTTAGCCCCCAATATATATCTTAATCAGGAACGAAAATAGTTTTCTTTTCAAAGAGATGATGTCTATTAAAACTAAATAAAACTATAAATAGAAATTTAGTGTTTATTAATTTTGTAAGTCAAAGCTGTATGCATGAAATTATTGATAGAAACTCTTGTGCCTTGATTGAAATACTTACCAGTTTTTAATATCCTGATATCACATGTGTGACATAATTTTGCCTTGATGTTTTAGTGGCATACTATCACATAAGATTGAGGTAAACCGAGCCAGACTCCATTTTGAGACAACAGGAGATGGGTCTAACATTATATTACTTCTACCAGGAGCTTTAGGTAACTGCCTCTCTCAAAAGGATTTTATGTATATTGTTAAATAATCAAGATGAAGACTTTTACAAGGACACATATTGATATTTCTCAACAATTTATTGTTTATCAAACAGTCACATTGTTTGGTAATTCGATCCTCTATTTTATTAAAGTTATGGTCATTTATGCCATTAGAAAGCCTAAAAAGAAAATATTTAACTCTTAACAGCAGCATTAAAGTATATTGATTTAACATTTAATTTTGTGAATTGGATAAAGTACAATTCTTGCTAAAAAAGTGATTGCCACTTTCTTTCATTTCATATGAATTTTACTTGTTTACTTTTTACACATTGTGACTTGGATGGAGAGTTGTCTCATTGGCACTCATACCACATCTTCTTATTTATATTTTAGGCATTCAATGTGTTATTTAAGGAATTGCTGTAATATTTTTTCTGTCTTTGAAGAAATAACTTCAAAAATGTGGTGCACACTGAATAACCTGTGTAGCTGATTATTTAAAAGTGTGCACCACATTTTTAAGGTTATTTCCTTAAATAACACATTTTTTTCCTTTCAAAAACAACTTGTAAATATAAGAATTGAATGCCTGAAAATTCATATGAAATGAAAGCAGTAGCTGTCAAATTAATGTTCACCGATTCGACTCAAATTCTCATATTTGATTTATAACCTACTAAAACATATATCAAACTTACAGAAAGTCTTAAATAACCAATTAGCAATACATGCACTCGATAATTTGTATCCGCATTTCGTGTGTATTTTAGTCTAGACGCCATCTAATTAACCATCTAGGTGACCTCTGATGACTGCCGACAGTCATATAACCCAATTTAGACATAAATATAAATGGAAAGCGAACACATGCAATTGGATTTATCTAGGTCTGTTTGATTTCATATTATATGTTAAACAAGTATGTTAATCATCATTTTTACCACAGGTATAAGAATGAGTTTTTGTGGATTGAATCAGTCAACCAGATGGTTTACCCTTGTTTCACTTTCAATGTTGACGTTCTTTTCCTTTTACTAGTAATAGCTGAACATGCCTAGTTCATTCGTAACCCATCTCTAGCTAAGGGGTTAAATAGAAGGTCACATAAATATGGTTTGAATGAGTTAAAATTATTTGCTTGCAAGTGAATAATTCATCAGCGATGTTTCTTGGCTCATTTTGACAAAATTGAACCAAATTGGCTGCTAAAAGCGAATTATTATTTCACTATTTCACTTTCATTAATGATTGAACAAAAAAAAATCATATTTTAATTTTTTTTAAATCTTGTAGCTAATGCCCTTTTAAGGAGTAAATTGTGAAAAAATCGTTGATAGCTGATAGACAAAAAACTTTCAGCCAATCAGAAGACATGTTACATCCAAAATTAAATTATTCACATTTAGAATCATAAACTAAACTTTAAACAGGTCAGGTATCCTACCTTAGGTTCCCACCTACATAATTGTTTCTTTTTTCCTACATAGTTATTTTTTACCTGGACCAATCCAGCGAATGAGTTGCAGTCCATGATGGACTACTACGTGTTACAAATTACAGAGAACACCTGTTTTTTACTGATATACAACACAATTTTGCACAGTATCAGAAAAATATCTTGTGTGATTACACTTGCTGTAAAGTATTAGTTCTATGCTCAGAATAAGGAATAATTATTTCTGACCTAAGAGTCTCAATAGCTTTTGAAATACTCGAACATTAGCCACTAATATTATGGCTAAATGAAATAAGATTTCAGACATTAGAAACCTAACAACAAAAAAAACCCCAAAAGGTTATTAAAGGACAACATTCAGTCTACAAATTGACAAGTGTCCCAGTATATTTATATAATACTGAATCAGTGTTCTCCCCAGGGCCTTTTAGCATCATGGTAATGTGATTATATATTTCTCTAATGTGATGCTATCTGAATTGATTTTCTTATAGGTTGTGTTATGGATGTGATTCTATAATTTTTAGAAACAAGATGGTATGTCAAATTTCCCTGTTTACCAGGATGCTATATGAAATATCTGGGGAGAACACTGACTGAATTACTAGTAGACTATATAAATAAGAAGATGTGGTATGAGTGCCAATGAGACAACTCTCCACCCAGTTCTAATGTTCTAATGTGATTACTTTAATATCAGGTATAGCCAAATGCAACCAGTGCAAATAAATTATGTGTGTCTTTTACAAATTCATAGTGCTGTGCAGCATGTAATGCTTGATATCAAGCAGTATTTCTGTGCCGTAGTCTCTGCTTTATGAAAGAGCATTATTTATGGAAAGAATACCAAATTCCTAGAGCATACAGTATCATGTAACCTGTTACTTTAAAATATTTGAAATATTTTTACTATTTCAAAAGAGCTCAGAGGAGTTTTACTCGACAATTGACACTTTGTTATTAATTTCATGTGAACTGAATGCCCAGGTACAGTGCACAACTATAGACGATACCTGATCTTTACTACTTTGACAGGAGGGGAAAAAATTGAAATGCTGAAGCCTGTGAACATTATTTATTAAATCTGAGCATGCAAATTGAAGATTATAATCATTTATGATATTACCGGTTCTTGTATTACATTAGTTGAACCGAAATATTAAACATGAGATTCCTAGATTCAATACAAAATGACACTTTTCAACCAAGTTCCACTTGTTTTAAGGTGATAGTAAACTTGTAATAGCCCCCAATGCATTGCGGTTCATTGTGTCAATTTGTTAATTTCTCAGGGACATGTTTACATTTTGTATTACTAATTAGGAAATTACTATGCAAATGTCTTCTGCAGATATTATCTAGTAAGATGGAGGTCGTATCATTCCAAGTAAAATCAATTACAATACATCATATAGCTGAAATTGGCTTTTGAAGATGTTGATTTGAAAGTTTCATGATACATTGTTAACAAATTTTCTCATATGAATAAAATTTGCAATTTTGTAAAAAGCATAATCATTTGCAGACAGTACACAAATATTTTGAAAAAAAATAGTGTTGTTTAATTAGGTAAGAAGAGCTAATCTGTAATCTTGGGTTGCATTCATACAGAATGGGTTATTTTCATATGGAATGAAAGCATATGACAGAATCAAATAATTGATCTTACAGCCAATAAAAGGTCATCATTTGTATGAATTGAACACCTACTGTATCCATGAACATTCAAGACATTTGTCAATTCAAGATTATATACTCAGATATTCAACTTACAAGATGATGTGTTATGATATTTGTCAAGAGAATTACATATATTGGGCATGGTGCATGAGCCTAGTAGCTGTTCTGAAAATATCAAAGATGTCATTGTTAAAGTAATATTTAAAATTAGAGTTATCTTCCTTTGTCCATAATTGTACCGGTAGTTGAACTGACTACAAATATAGACAAAGGAAGATACACCTCCAATTTATGGTATTGCCTTCCAATTCTTAACACAATGCAATGTTTAATTTTTAATTCCTACTGCAAAATAAATGCAATCTTTACCCTACAGTGCTCACAAGCACTTTGATTCATGTATTTTATTGAGCATCTTTTTTATTTTATTAGGATCCAGCAGAACAGATTTTGAGAAGCAGTTGACAGATTTTAATAAGTCTAATTACACTTTGATAGCCTTTGACCCTAGAGGATATGGAAAAAGTATACCACCAAATAGAACATGGCCATTAGAGTTTCTGCAGAGAGATGCTGATGATGCTTTTGAACTTATTAGGGTATATCAAAGAATTAATCAGGATTAAAAATTAGCAATTAAAAAATAAATTTTATCCCCATATATTTCCTTTATTAATGTAATACTTTTATGAAGTGTCCAATAATTAGTTTTTTTTTTAGATTATTCTCATAAAATGAAATCAATCTATAACACTCATTATATGACAATTACATACAAAAATTCAATGCCAATACATTAAGACACTGCAAGGAAGCATGCAGAAAATTAACATCTTTCGAAAACTTACAAGGGTTGTAAAAAAATCAGTTATAAAAAACAGTGACCTTCTTTATCTGTAGATCTTATGATAGGACAGCATACAAAAATATAGATCACTTATCTTAAGGGCATAAGAAAAAATAGGAAGGACAGATAATAAGGTATCCACATTTATCTCTACGGCATAAGAAACAGAAGTAAGGACAGATAATAATGCATCCACATTTATCTCTACGGCATAAGAAACAGTAGTAAGAACAGATAATAATGCATCCACATTTATCTTAAGGGCTTAAGAAACAGTAGTAAGGACAGATAATTGTGCATCCACATTTATCTGAAGGGCTTAAGAAACAGTAGTAAGGACAGATAATAATGCATCCACATTTATCTCTATGCATAAGAAACAGTAGTAAGGACAGATAATAATGCATCCACATTTATCTTAAGGGCTTAAGAAACAGTAGTAAGGACAGATAATAATGCATCCACATTTATCTGAAGGGTTTAAGAAACAATAGTAAGGACAGATAATAATGCATCCACATTTATCTGAAGGACATAAGAAACAGTAGTAAGGACAGATAATAATGCATCCACATTTATCTTAAGGGCATAAGAAACAGTAGTAAGGACAGCTAATTGTGCATCCACATTTATCTGAAGGGTTTAAGAAACAGTAGTAAGGACAGATAATAATGCATCCACATTTATCTTAAGGGCATAAGAAACAGTAGTAAGGACAGATAATTGTGCATCCACATTTATCTTAAGGGCATAAGAAACAGTAGTAAGGACATATAATAATGCATCCAAATTTATCTGAAGGACATAAGAAACAGTAGTAAGGACAGATAATAATGCATCCACATTCATCTGAAGGGCATAAGAAATAGTAGTAAGGATATATAATAATGCATCCACATTTATCTGAAAGGCATAAGAAACAGTTGAGTAAGGACAGATAATTGTGCATCAACATTATCTGAAAGGCATAAGAAACAGTAGTAAGGACAGATAATAATGCATCCACATTTATCTGAAGGGTTTAAGAAACAGTAGTAAGGACAGATAATAATGCATCCACATTCATCTGAAGGGCATACTGTAAATTCAGAAATTATTGCGAGGTTTTTATACGACCGCAAAAATTGAAAATTTTTTGGTCGTATATTGGTATGACGTTGGCGTCGTCGTCGTCCGGCGTCGTCCGAAGACACATTGGTTTTCGCACTCTAACTTTAGTTTAAGTTAATGGATCTCCATGAAATTTTACCATAAGGTTCAATACCATGAAAGGAAGGTTGGGATTGATTTTGGGGGTTATGGTACCAACAGTTAAGGAATTAGGGGCCAAAAAGGGGCCAAAAATAAGCATTTTTGTAACTTCCAGACAATAACTTGTGTGTAAGTGTATGGATCTCTCTGACATTGTACCACAAGGTTCCATATCACATAGGGAAGGCTGTAATTGATTTTGGGGGTAATTGCCTCAAAATTTTAAGATAAGGGGCCAAAAAAGGGGCAAAAAACAAGCATTTTTCTAGTTTCATGACAATAACTTGTGTGTAAGTGTTTGGATATTTCTTAAATTGTACTACAAGGTTCCATATCACAAAGTGAAAGCTGGAATTGAGTTTGGGGGTAATTGCCCGAAACGTTTAGGAATTGGGGGCCAAAAAGGGGCCAAAAATAAGCATTTTTCTAGTTTCCAGACAATAACTTGTGTTCAATTGTATGGATCTCTCTGAAATTGTACTGCAAGATACCATACCACAAAGGGAAGGCTGGGATTGAGTTTGGGGTGATGAATCATAAGGGGGTTCAAAAAATTGGGGGGGGGGGGGGGGGTTCTTTTTTTTTTTCTTTTTTTCCTTTTTTTTTTCTTTTAAAATTTTCCATTTTAAGTTGGTTATTTCTGATTTATATTTAAAAGCAAATAATAATGATATGGTAGGAAATACACACCAAACAGGATGTGTAAATTATTATACAATAAGTATTGTGCAATAGCAAGAAATTTTCAATTGCACAGTATTGCACAATAGCAAGAAATCTTCAATTGCACAGTATTGCGCAATAGCAAGAAATCTTCAATTGCACAGTATTGCGCAATAGCAAGAAATATCCAATAGCACAATATTGCGCAATAGCAAGAAATTGTCAATTGTACAGTATTGCGCAATAGCAAGAAATATTCAATTGCACAGTATTGTGCAAAAGAATATACTTTGTATAAGTTGCTTATTTCTTGATCAATTTCAATGGGGTTTTATTCTTGAATTCTTGGGGTTCTTTAATATGCTGAATCTAACCATGTATTAAGTTTTTGGATTTTGGGCCCTGTTTTTAAATTGGTCCACATTGAGGTCCAAAGGGTCCAAAATTTAACTTTGTTTGATTTCATCAAAAATTGAATTATTGGGGTTCTGTGATATGCCGAATCTAACCGTGTATTTAGATTCTTAATTTTTGGTTCCGTTTTCAAATTGGTCTACATAAAGGTCCAAAGGGTCCAAAATTAAACTTAGTTTGATTTCAACAAAAATTGAATATATGGGGTTCTTTGATATGCTGAATCTAACCATGTATTTAGATTTTTGATTATGGGCCCAGTTTTCAAGTTGGTCCAAATCGGGGTCCAAAATTAAACTTTATTTGATTTCAACAAAAATTGAATATATGGGGTTCTTTGATATGCTGAATCTAACCATGTATTTAGATTTTTGATTATGGGCCCAGTTTTCAAGTTGGTCCAAATCGGGGTCCAAAATTTAACTTTGTTTGATTTCAACAAAAATTGAATATATGGGGTTCTTTCATATGCTGAATATAACCGTGTATTAAGTTTTTGGATTTTGGGCCCCGTTTTTAAATTGGTCCACATTGAGGTCCAAAGGGTCCAAAATTTAACTTTGTTTGATTTCATCAAAAATTGAATTATTGGGGTTCTTTGATATGCCGAATCTAACCGTGTATTTAGATTCTTAATTTTTGGTTCCATTTTCACATTGGTCTACATAAAGGTCCAAAGGGTCCAAAATTAAACTTAGTTTGATTTTAACAAAAATTGAATTTTTAGGGTTCTTTGATATGCTGAATCTAAACATGTGTTTAGATTTTTGATTATGGGCCCAGTTTTCAAGTTGGTCCAAATCGGGGTCCAAAATTAAACTTTATTTGATTTCAACAAAAATTGAATATATGGGGTTCTTTGATATGCTGAATCTAACCATGTATTTAGATTTTTGATTTTTGGGCCCCGTTATCAACTTTGTCCACATTGAGATCAAAAGGGTCCAAAATTAAACTTTGTTTGATTTCATCAAAAATTGAATTCTTGGGGTTCTTTGATATGCTGAATCTAACCATGTATTTAGATTTTGGATATTGGACCATAATAGGTGAATGTCCAATTTAAAATTTTTAAGTTCTTAGACCACATTCATTCTGTGTCAGAAACCTATGCTGTGTCAAATATTTAATCACAATCCAAATTCAGAGCTGTATCAAGCTTGAATGTTGTGTCCATACTTGCCCCAACTGTTCAGGATTCGACCTCTGCGGTCGTATCAAGCTGCGCCCTGCGGAGCATTTTATTATTTTTGCGACAAATGCGACAGAGTTGTAAACGTAATGATTTAAACTCGCATTTTGAAATATTTTATATGAACTAAACAGGATTTTTCTCAAAATCGTAAAAATTAAAATCGCCTTTAAGTCTAAAATGACAAAATCGCAATAATAAATGCATGCAATAATTTCTGAATTTACAGTAAAAAATAGTAGTAAGGACAGATAATTGTGCATCCACATTTATCTGAAGGGTTTAAGAAACAGTAGTAAGGACATATGATTGTGCACCCACATTTATCTGAAGGGTTTAAGAAACATTAGTAAAGACATATAATAATGCATCCACATTTATCTGAAAGGCATAAGAAACAGTAGTAAGGACAGATAATTGTGCATCCACATTTATCTGAAGGACATAAGAAACAGTAGTAAGGACAGATAATAATGCATCCACATTTATCTTAAGGGCATAAGAAACAGTAGTAAGGACAGCTAATTGTGCATCCACATTTATCTGAAGGGTTTAAGAAACAGTAGTAAGGACAGATAATAATGCATCCACATTTATCTTAAGGGCATAAGAAACAGTAGTAAGGACAGATAATTGTGCATCCACATTTATCTTAAGGGCATAAGAAACAGTAGTAAGGACATATAATAATGCATCCAAATTTATCTGAAGGACATAAGAAACAGTAGTAAGGACAGATAATAATGCATCCACATTCATCTGAAGGGCATAAGAAATAGTAGTAAGGATATATAATAATGCATCCACATTTATCTGAAAGGCATAAGAAACAGTTGAGTAAGGACAGATAATTGTGCATCAACATTATCTGAAAGGCATAAGAAACAGTAGTAAGGACAGATAATAATGCATCCACATTTATCTGAAGGGTTTAAGAAACAGTAGTAAGGACAGATAATAATGCATCCACATTCATCTGAAGGGCATACTGTAAATTCAGAAATTATTGCGAGGTTTTTATACGACTGCAAAAATTGAAAATTTTTTGGTCGTATATTGGTATGACGTTGGCGTCGTCGTCGTCGTCCGGCGTCGTCCGAAGACACATTGGTTTTCGCACTCTAACTTTAGTTTAAGTTAATGGATCTCCATGAAATTTTACCATAAGGTTCAATACCATGAAAGGAAGGTTGGGATTGATTTTGGGGGTTATGGTACCAACAGTTAAGGAA